TAATGCCATCATAATCTGTGTGAACCTGGCAGTTTGAGAACACACAGTGCTGACAACAGTGGTTAATAACTGGCTTATCCTTCACAATATAATAATATTTGACTAGTGAATTGGGCATTCACTATTCAAATAGGGATAAAATACTTTATCAAATTTTTTTTTTGTAAATGTCACAAGTTCATTAACGCGTTCATCTTGACGTTCTTCCTGTCCTCTCCAGTTGGCCGTCCCTGACCTGGCTGAGTCGGTGAAAGGAGCCGACATCCTCATCTTTGTGGTTCCACACCAGTTCATTGTGAGAGTGTGTGATACCATCAAAGACCACATCAAGAAGGACGCTGTCGGCATGTCTCTCATCAAGGTGAAGTCACCCGCCATCAGCTGGATCACTGATGTTCTCTGATGTTTTAATGCAAGTTTCACGGTCAAATCTCTCCAACAGGGAGTCGACGTTGGACCAAAGGGTCTGAGGCTGATCTCAGAGGTCATCAGAGAGAAACTGGGCATCACCATGACGGTCCTGATGGGCGCCAACATCGCCAATGAGGTCGCCGAGGAGAAGTTCTGTGAAACAACTATTGGTACTCATGGCCAAATTACAATAAAAATAGACATTTATTTAGGAAAAGTGTTGCTTAGAACAGAAACACAGTGAAGAAACTACTAAAACTGGTCTTTTTTAATTTTTTTGCAACAGGATGCGCAGACAAAACTCACGGGCCCATATTAAAAGAGCTGATGCAGACAACAAACTTCCGTGTAACTGTGGTGGAAGAGTCGGACGTTGTGGAGATTTGTGGAGCTCTTAAGGTCAGCTTTGTCCTATAACCCACTCCACTAATTTTCTAAATATTACAAATCATCTCTGGCTGGCACAGAGTCATTTTTTGAATTTCTTTTTCAAATTATGAGGCAATGAAACTCCACATAAAGACATCAAATAGTAGAAAACATGCTCTGGAGAATAATATGATGATATTAAATAATATGAAAAACATGCTCTGGAGAATAATATGATGGTAAAGTTGGGTCATTAAATAAATTTGTTTTATTTCCCTGATGACATTTTTACATCAAAAATTATTGAAAATAATAACAAAAAACTGTGAAAATTAGAAAGTAAATATAAATTGCCATAAAGTTTCTGAGGTCTGAAAAACAAGTTTCCAATTATGTAACTAGAAGAAAAAAATAATTATAATTTTCCAATTTTTATTTTTTATTTTATTCAAGTGACCAGAACAACAAAACAGTACATTTTCATAAATTGCAGTAAACGTTAGCAGTACGTAGCTAGTTTGGCTCTTCTTTTCTTGAACGCAGAACATCGTAGCAGTTGGAGCAGGGTTCTGTGATGGTCTGGGTTTCGGGGACAACACCAAGGCGGCTGTAATCCGCCTGGGCCTGATGGAGATGATTGCCTTTGCTAAATTCTTCTGCTCGGGCTGCGCCGTCTCACCCGCGACCTTCCTGGAGAGCTGCGGCATCGCTGACCTCATCACCACCTGCTACGGTGGACGCAACCGCAAGATCGGGGAAGCATTCGCCAAAACTGGAAAAGTATGAAACAAACACTAAAACTTCATTAACAACCTTTCTCTTTTTTTTTTTTTTTGTAATTATAACATAATTTGACGTTGTTTTGTGTCTCAGACCATTGAGCAGTTAGAGAACGAGCTGCTGAATGGACAGAAGCTTCAAGGTCCTGCAACTGCCAGCGAGGTCCATGAGATCCTGAAACAGAAGAACATGGTGGACAAGTGAGTTCTCATCATGCTCTATTCAAATGTTCACTCTTTGACATGCAGTTTAATGATTGATTGAAGTTGTGATTTGACCATGGTGGGCGGGGGGTTGAAAGCAGAAGTTGACAGGATCGGCCTGAAGCTGGGTTTCTATTGGTCACAGTGTAATCACGATCATATTCGTCATGTTTTAACAATGATTTTCCTTCAAACTGAATCATATCTGTGAAAATGAAAGCTTTTAGATAAGACCTGAAACTGGGAAACAGTAATCCAAACGATCATTTACTGATGTCATTAATCCAGTGAGCACCACCATAGGTTTCCCATTGTCTTTTATTATTATTATTCTTATAAATATTATTATTTATTATTATTATTCTTTGTGCAACCAGCTGAGTGACAGTATTTCTTTACAAACTCGCAATTTTTTTCCATACAGAAATCTGCCTTTAAAGATTGTTCGATTATCCTTCAATCATACTTTTAAAAACATTATGTCCTATTGAAAAGACCCCGAACCAGTGATTGAGACCCAGAGTCTCTTCAGAACATTTTGCATGTATATCTATTGTTCCATAAATGTGCATGATGGATGTCTTCCCATCCTCTGCCTCCAGGTTTCCTCTGTTCACCGCTGTTTACCAGATCTGCTTCAACAGCCACCCAGTGGCGGAGTTCATCAGCTGTTTGCAAAACCACCCAGAGCACATGTGAAAATGAACTGACGCCCGTTTTACTAGACTACAACCCATGTGTTTTACATGGAGGAGAAACACTGGAGAAGACTGTGCCGCACACCAAAGAAACGGTGTCGCTTCCCATCTACCTGAGCTGCCCTGCCACCTACTGTCCATTGTTACTGCCTTTACAGAAGCATACCTTCTTATCAGCACATCACACATGTTTGCATACATTTAGCAAGTCTTAAACATTTCAGGAATTTGACGTACTCTGTCACACGTGGCTGGCGTCACGTGTTACACAATTTCTTGGGTCACATTTACCCACGTATGAACGCACGTGTCAAAGAAATTGCACTGAAAATACAAATTCTGCCAATCCCACTGTAATCCCAGGATTACTGACTACGCAACGAGATTAACTTTGGAATAAAATATTGTTTATGGGTTTTCCTTGTGTCTCCTTTCAATCTGTGAGACTGGTCTGCAGGACACGGTCGTACTACCACAGCCTCACTGCAGCGGCCTCACTGTAACCCGACCTCAGCTCAGCCTGGCTGCCACTCTAAACGCGTCACCTTTACCATTTTCTGCCTCAACCTTTCTCTGCGGCCGTGACCTGCCGTGGACACAGAGCCCCTCATGGCAGGATGTGTCAGCGGTCGGTGATATCTTCCTGGATTCACTGTATTTCATTGTGTTCTTTATATTCCTCTCTGAATGTCCAGATATCTCACCACTGCTCGGGCCAAGCTGTAATGACAAGGGTGTCAACCATGAGACCGATTGTTTAATTAAAGAAAGCACTCTCCCCTGATAACGTACTGTAACTTGTTAAGCCCCCCTCGTCCCCCCACTGACTTCATTTTCATAGAATTATTCGGCTCATTTGCTCACGAACAGCCCTGGACTGTGAAGGTACATCATTTACCACTGCTTTAATATTGGATTCCCTGGCTGAAAATCCCTCACATAGTTACTGAGTCAAGAGTCCAGTCAAATTTCTAATAATATCTCGCTCCAAAGGGGCAAATGTCCATCTATAATTAGACACTGGGCAGCAATAGATCTTGGCCATCCCTGCCCCGCTTCACAGATGGAGAGATGCCTCTTTGTGAAACTTTATACAGTACTATTGTGCTTTTGTTGTTTGACAGCTACATTGTTTTTCCTTCTTTTTTTTTTGAGGTAACTTGGTTTTTTACATTCATTTTCAGTGCAACACATCTCTTGGTTCTACATTTATATTACATTTATGCATTTAGCAGACGCTAACTCCGCAGGACTCTCTGTTTCCGAGGCAGGCGTGCTAACCGCTTCGCTATGTAACCGCGTTCTATTTTTTTCTCTTATAATTTTGAATATTAAATCTTAAGTAGGCTTAAAGAGAGTAACACGAGAAATTATATTCCACTTTAGCTAAGCTTTCAAGCGGGCATATCCAAACAGAAGCCCGGGGCCTCATGCAGCCCAGGCCCAACCTCAGAGTGGCCCAGTCTGTGGTCATTCTAGGAATATAGAGAGAAGCTGAAAGATTGGCTTGTAATGGTAGATTTTTTTTACGTAAAACACACCATTAATGCTAACACTCCTGTGACCCAAAGTGTTAACAGTTTACTTTACACATCCTTCTTAACGCGATCATAAATGGTTTATTAATTTTTTAAATGTTAAATTACAGATTAAGATATATGTAAACTACCAGCACCCTTCAGTGGACGAAGGCGGTTTGTTTTTAAAAGAACGCAGTAAGTGTTGAGAACTATCCCTAAATCTACACTATCAGGTGTAATACCTTAACTGGTCACATGGAGGAGCCGCGTTACCGTCACAAGCTCAACAATTACCGTTCGTTATTTTTTATCTGTTTTTGCGACGGCGTCAAAAAAAGGATAACCCGTCTGTTATCAAGTTAAAACGTGTCGTCTTTTTTTAAAGTGTAAATAAATTGTGAGCATTTTGTCTCTTCGATTTGTATTGAAGCGCGAGGCAACAGCGAGATTGATAGCAATATGGAACCATCCTTCGGCGAGGGAGGGACTGTTCTCTTCCTCAATCCTGTCCTCATCTCTGGGCGGCAGCCGAGATACGCCAAGCCAGCCGACAGCACCGAGACAGCACCGGTGGCAGAGCTGTTTTCTTTTCAAAATTATGAATTAGTTAATTACTTAAAAATAAATGCTGCGCAGATGCTACTGTAGTAATTACACTTAAACTTCAAACAACTTTATATATATATATTGGTTTTTTTTTATTTAGTCATGTTTCTAAAATATGCAATCCCCCAATAGTGGGTATTTTTGATTAAACCTTGATTTGAAGTTATCGTTACATACAAAATTTAATAAACTTATATATATAATATATAATAATAATAATAATGTTCGTCGTTGTGTACCTTAAAATATATATGGAGAGTGTTGAGAATCTTATTTTGAAACACAAGTCGGAAGCGGAATGATTCGTCCAAGGTACTCGGCGCTGGTGCAGTAAAGTTGAGTGTGGCGAGACTGAGACGATTCATCCTGTGGCGAAGACAAGAAGAGGTGATATTCAAGTTTTTTTTTAAATTACTTTCTTTGGTAAAACAGAGCAGAATTCTTCGAGCCAGGCCGAGACAGGGACTCTCGTGAAACATGGCTGCTCTTTCAGCCTGGTTTTGGAACGAAAGGTTTTGGCTGCCACACAACGTAACCTGGGCGGATCTGGAGGACCCAGCGCCCGGGGTGGAGTATCCTAAAGTTGGGCACTTGTTTACAGCCTTCCCGCTTGCACTGGGAATCTTCGCTTTCAGGATATTCTTTGAGAGGTTGGTTTTTTACTGCTAGTCTCCATTGTATCTTAAAATGTGTGGATACTCGTCCTTAAATGTTTTGAATTCACGGAAGTTATACAGAGAAATGATGGGTTCTTGGTGGACCTGTTGGTGACTATGTTTAAATTAAGCAATTTTAAAAAGGTTTATATCAGAAAAACCCATTCACATTATCACTTCACTGCAGCCTGTTTAGTCATTCTGTCCTATTTAACAGACAGGCTTATTTCTATTTATTTCTAACCACACTCCTGTTACAGTGAATGTGTCACGAAATCCACCTGTTATAATGGTATCCACTGTTTTGCCATTTTGTCTTCTTATACACATATTAGTGCCACATACACACATACAGTACCCACGTATGGGACACTGCATTCAAATGATGATGGTCCATTTAGTTCTCTGCTTGTCTCTCTGCTCTTGTGAAGACATTTGTGGACACAGTCCATTAGCCCTTATTCCAGAATATTAAAGCTAATCCCCCCCCAACAACTAACAAACAAATATGCAGTTATAAAAAATAAAAGCTTTCATTCTATTTTAATGAGCTTCTATAAATGAAAAGTGATGTTTTATTTGCAATGATGAATCCATCTGTTTGAATTTTCTTTTTCTTTAATTAGGCCTGCACGATATGAGCAAAACGTGTGATGTGCAGTGACGCTCCTTAGTATTGTGATGACAACATGATTTGTGATAAACAAGATAATATCGTAGTTTGAATACAGTACCTCTCTTTCAGATTTTTCAGCTTTAATAGGTTCCCCGCTCTTAGGTACTCTCAAATAACTGAATAGATGGTGACAATTAAATAGGAAAATAGAAAAAATATTTTGTGTATGCCTTTTGAACGAAAGCAACGTAACATTATTTAGATATGTTATTAATATATCTATATTATTAGTATTAGAAAAATAAATTTAAGTTTGATTTCCCTGCTGTCAACAAAACATCTCTTGAATTGAAATAATCTTAGACAATGAAATAATCTTAAAACACCATACAGTGACACAATAGCAACATCAGGAAAACTAAATCTGTGATGGCACCACATCAATCATAGGTTGATATAGCTAGACTATATCTGTGTCTGGTCACAGTATTAATGGGCATCGTATCTGTAGCATATCCCACAGAAGGACGGCCGTACTCTTTGACCGGGGATTTCAGTTTTATTGAAAATCCTAAAACAAAGTGCTGGTTTTGAATAAACAAAAATACACCATATCAACTACATTGCCACAGATCACCATAGCACAGAGATTACTATCACACAGAGTGTTTCAACAGCCGCTCTGCACCCTGGCCTTTGCCATTCTCTTTACTCCTTTGCAAACATGCAATGTGTTAATTGTGAAAGTTCACATCGCAAAGACAAAGTAAAAAAATACAATTAACCGTGCAAGCTTAATGGCAATGTTTTTTTAATGGGGGGTGCAGTGTAGGTGTGAGGCCATGAAGGATCAGCAGAAGAGGTCCGATGGCCTGAGATCACGTAGTTTCATTGAAAAACTGCATGTTTCTCCTTTCACTGTCTTCATCTTTTATGGTTTTAGCCACAAGTCCCTGTTTTCTGTTCTACAAAATAAGAGATGCACAACGCATCAAAATTAAAAAGGAGAGAAAATAATCAAATTTTTCATTTGTGAGGACACAGTGGGAATGTCATTTTAGTAAAGTTGAAAATATTGTTGCAAAATGACAGCTATTGTAGTTGTTGAGAAGAACGTCATGTTCTTAAAAATGTATCCTGACAGCAGCACCAGGCAACATGCTGTCCACCGGGAAGGTTAGCAGGCAGTGATAATTGGGATAACACAACTCCATAAACCTCCTATCTGAACTGTCTTTTGTGTTATTTGTTATTATACTACAAGTGGGATTCTGACAGTAATGGCACATGTATTTTATTCTTACAAATATATAATTTGGTGCTGTTTCCTACTGCAAGTGTGAAAGTAAAGGTATTGCTATTTATGATAAAAAAACCAAACCCAGACCTGTTAAGAAGTGATGCAACTCAACCTCCAACTGTCAATAAAGCTAGAACAAAGAGCGGGTTAGCAGGATTAGTTCTTAGTCTACGTACGGGCCAACTCTCCCCCTCCCCTCCTCCTCATCCTCCGTACATACTGCCATTAGCCGCTACTGTATCGTCTGTCTCAAAGGTAAGAACTTAACTTTAAACCACATTTTATTTTATATCACAGGAATCCTTATATACTATAATTTTGTTTGTATGTGTGTCTCTATAGCAATTAAAACCATGTTTTTTCCATTGTTATTAGCACTAATAAGGGAGTTTTTTGGAAGACTGGAATGGATACATTTTTTTTTCTGTTAATTCATATGGGAAAAAATTATTCAAGATACGAGAATCTCGAGTTACGAGCTTGGTCCTGGAATGAATTATGCTTGTATCTCAAGGTTCCAATCGATTCCAACTGTAATAGTACGCGGTGCAGTAAAACTGGGTTTTCATCACTCATTTGACTGCAGGTTTGAGAAGTTGTAAAAGCTGTATGATTATTGACCTGGTCCTCTTCTTCATATAGAGATAAGGCTTTTCTCTACTATCTACTGTTACAGTAATAAAGAGAGGTGTGGAATTTCCAGCTGAGGTAATATGAATGAAGCTGGCTCTGTGTAGTGTCACAGTATTAGAGGTGGGGCAATCCCACCATTAAATCCTGATTCTTCTTGTGGAAGAAGGGTGTTGCAGTCTTTTGAAATTCTTCATCTCTGGTTAAAGTACCGTCAGTACTAGACTGTTCTACAAATGTCGATCCTGGTCGATGCACAACTACTGGGGCGATGGGTGTGCATTGAGCATGTTGTTCCACATACACTATGTTAATGGGCGAAAGCACATGATTTAATATCAGGCAGTGCGATTGTGTCTGAGGCGATTAGGCTTGTTCGGTATACCTGTACCAAATAGGTACTGCGGTACCAAAGCATTATTGGCAAATTACTGGTACTTGTTATTTTAACCACTTTGTGCCGATTGCTCCACTGTCCTGTTGCTCTTTGTCCTCCACTCACAATTAGCTGCCCTTGACACACGCGTCGCAATCGATAGCGAATTTGACAACGTGGCTGCAACAGCTCCTTCTGTGAACTAATAGTCAGCCCTCTGATCAACACGATGTAATCATTACTGAGCAGCTGTTGCTCAGAAACATGACACTGACTTCGCTAAACATTTAAAGGAAAGCACGCCAATCTGCATAAGGAAATTAAGGACAGACAGGTTAGCACCAATGGAATAAACATGGATTCAGTGCTTTTGGTGTGAACGCACCATAAGAACGGGTTTTAGATGTTGTCCTCTTGAATGATTGAATGATTCCCTAATTAGCCCACAACCTGTGGATCAGCCCTTTGTCTTCTGATGGGGCTAACTGACTCAAAGTGTGAAATGTAAATTAGTTGCATCAACACAAACGTTGATGCATTCAGCTGTGGGTCCGATGTTGCCAGTTATTCTCCCGGGACAGTGACTCACTTGTGCCATCTCTCATGGCTGTTTGGCATTTGTCACGTAGTCCATGGTTTGCATTCATGCAAAGTCTCTCTGTTTTCATGGCACAAAAGAAACCCCCCCCCAAAAAAAATGTTTTTTTCAATCTCAGTAAAAGCACTGAAATGTATGTGCCAGTGTACCATGATAATGTCTGAAGAATAAAGCTGCTTGTGTGTGGTGTTAAATGTAACCGTTAACGTGACACCAAATCTAAATTCTCCCTCTACGTGGCTAAACCCTACCATGGCATCAGGCATCGGTGTATTTTATTCAGGGTCAAATAGCTTTAAGTAAGAGCAATCAGATATCGGAGGTGTCCCTGGAGCTATCTCCTGAGACACCTCTGATATCTGATTGCTGGGACATCTACCTCAGTTGCCGAAGGTGTCCATCTCTGATAGGAGAACCACGGTTCATGGAACTTTACACCATGGCTTGAATTCAGAGTCGTCCGTCTGCTCTGCTGTGCTGTCGGACTTTCTCACACTGCATTCTAACATGAACACTAACCCGCAAACTGTGTTCAGGCCCCTCGTGTTGGGGAGATGTGAACAGTCAGAGCCACAGCAGGAAGTGGTTCAGCTGCACCTCCACCTGGGGAGTCATGATCTGAGTGTCAGTCAACGCGTAAGCCTTCTTATTCATAATGAACAACTTTTTCAATGGACTGCCCCTCCTTGATGTGCTAATCAGTCACACGAGCACCTCCAGTCAAAGACCTATTACTATTACACCCAGGTGGATTACAGCGCATCACAGAAAGTCTTTCTTGTCCGGGCCAATCAGACTCTTCAACTCCACCCACTCATTATTATTACATCTACTGGACAATTTCTCAAAACTCTGATTCATCTGATCAATATGCATGTATTAGTTAGATGTACTGTGCAATGTATTGAAAACGTATTCAATATTAGTATTCAAATTTAGTGTTATCTTAAAAACATAAATTAATTTATGAAATATATATTTACATGGCTGTTTGGCATTTGTCACGTAGTCCATGGTTTGCATTCATGCAAAGTCTCTCTGTTTTCATGGCACAAAAGAAACCCCCCCCCAAAAAAAATGTTTTTTTCAATCTCAGTAAAAGCACTGAAATGTATGTGCCAGTGTACCATGATAATGTCTGAAGAATAAAGCTGCTTGTGTGTGGTGTTAAATGTAACCGTTAACGTGACACCAAATCTAAATTCTCCCTCTACGTGGCTAAACCCTACCATGGCATCAGGCATCGGTGTATTTTATTCAGGGTCAAATAGCTTTAAGTAAGAGCAATCAGATATCGGAGGTGTCCCTGGAGCTATCTCCTGAGACACCTCTGATATCTGATTGCTGGGACATCTACCTCAGTTGCCGAAGGTGTCCATCTCTGATAGGAGAACCACGGTTCATGGAACTTTACACCATGGCTTGAATTCAGAGTCGTCCGTCTGCTCTGCTGTGCTGTCGGACTTTCTCACAC